TTTCCAGTTCTGCCATAGACCATTCATTTTTGCACTCTAAGCCAAGGCATGAACTAATAGACAATGTGGTCATGATCATTCAAGAAAGAATTGTTTTTTGTGAAACTGAATCAGCTCTGGCAGAGACTGTCTCAAATCATGCTAAAAGAATTCTGAAGCTCTGCTGAGCCCCTGTGGGACTGAGACCCAGGCCAGGTTGGATACAGAGGGTGAGTTGGAGGACTCAGTTTGCTCCGGACCTGCCGAAATGCCTGTTGCAGTTTTCAAGGGGGTCACTGGGCAGTTTGTGCAGCCTCTTCCAGTGTCTGCTGGGGGTTCGGGTGAACCACTCCAGCACTCTGCGGCTCCCATTCTGCCATCAGTTTCCGCTGTGTGCTCCGGAGAGCCTGCTTAGCCTTCAGCAGTTGCTGTGCCTCTACCTGCTTTGCCTCAGCCAGAGGACGACGCCTCGCCTGGTCCTGCCACGCCAGGTCCTGCCACGCCAGGTCCTGCCACGCCAGGTCCTGCCACGCCAGCTGAAGGTTCAGGCAAGCTTGCCCAGCTTCCCTCCACATCTGCTGTAACTTCACCACCTGCTGCATCCGCTGACGGCTCTGGTGAGTCCGTTCAGTCACCTGCTCCATCACCAGTGTCTTCCTCGCCGTCATCTGCAGCACCACCACCTGCTCCATCACCTGCAGCCGCCATGCTTGACCGGGTCTCGTCTTGACCCAGCAAGAGGCAGTCACCTACACCTGGTCTCATCTCGTCTGCTGCTGTGGGCGGCCTCCTGAGCGGTGTTGCCGCCACAGTCTTCCACATGGCCGGCCTCTGGACCCCCTCTGTCGGCCCCCTGACATGTTTATAAACTGCTCCCTGAGCTCCAGTGTCTTTTGTAGACTTTTGTTTTGGACTGTTTCATAAGCTCCATGTTCTCTTAAAAACTGACCTCTGGTCAGTTTTGGTTTTGCCTGATTGATTTAGTTTTGCATCTCTTAGTCCAGCCTCTAATAAATGTCTCGTTTTCAGTTAATATTAGGTTTTGTTATTTTGTGTGTCTGCATTTGGGTCCACCTTCTTCATTTCTTACAGTCTGTCTCACCCAGACTGTGACAGATTTTAGTTTAACCCTTTCATGTATGAATTATGACAGCTTCAATCAGGATTTTTTTCTTAAGAATTTTTCTTCATCTTTAGGCATGAAAAAAGATTGTTAAACTTATTTTTTTAAACATATATTTTGCAAAGAGATTTTTACATGTCCACTGGCTGACCAGTGGGTGGCAGGGTATGGAGTGACACATCAGTGTCCAATGTAGTGGTTTATCTGCAAGTATACCATCAACACTGACACAAATACAAGACAAACAGCCTTTGAATAGCTGTAACTGTAGTAACCACTATATGTGAAAGAGTTAAAGCAATCAAAGTCCAGCCCAGTTGGTAAATAACAACAAACACACTGTAATAAACTAATAAAAGATAAAAGCAACAATGTCAAAAATGAATTTAGGAATTAACCCAAAAAGAATCTGTATCAATACTCGATAAGAAATTAATGAAACAAAAAACTAAGATTCAATTTAACAATCAACTCAACAGGAATTCTGTCAGAATCAAAGAAAAAAATGAAAATGAATTTAGCAGAATCAGAATCAGAATCAGAAAGGATTTTATTCCCAAATGTTGAGCAGGTTTTCAACATTAGGAAATTGCTGCGGTACTTAGTGCAAACATACTGTCATATAACGCTTAAATAAACATAAAAAATAAAAATAAGAATTAAAAGTGCTAACTAGATAGATATACATGAATGCAGGTGGTGATCAGTGCAAAAATGTGTTCACTGCATCATTCCATTTTTGCACTGATCACAGTGTAGGGTCATGTGTTAGTGGTGGGAACAGTCATATGGTTATTGTTCATGTGTCCAACAGCAGAGGGGAAGAAACTGTTCTTATGGCGAGAGGTTCTGTTGCGAATGGACCGGAGCCTCCTGCCTGAGGGGAGCAGGTCAAACAGACTGTGTCCAGGGTGAGAAGGGTCAGCTGAGATCC